AGATGAGGGGCTAAAGAGAGCAAGGTCAGAGGGCAGGTTGGGGAAGGGATTTTTTCCCTCTCCCCACTACTGGGGATCAAACCTGGGACTTACACACGCTGGTCAAGCATGTTGTCACCGAACTACATTTCCCCAACAGAAGGAATTTTATGTGACATAATCATTTGGCACAGCTATTGAGGACTTGGATTCCAGAACAACCTTGGGTTCTAGTGACCGGGGCTGCCTGGTTGGGTCACCTGCTCTGAAGAGGTGGACCCTCAACATGAAGTTCCTAATGTTGGTGTACCAGGCACTACAACCTAGAAGACCCTCATTCACACAGAAACCTCTCCCAAGTAGACCAGGTTATCTCACCACAAACCAGGATGCTGAAGGAACATAGAGATCACACATATCCATGAAGGGGCCAGGACTCAAGAGCATCCATTCTAGTCCAGATCCATCCATTGCCCTAATCACCGTGTTACACCACTCCTCCAATGTGGCTGATTTTATAGCCCACATCTCCATTCACCATCGGGTCATAAGACTGTGCAGGATCCTCATCTTGCTACCCTTTGGATTGCTACTACTGTGTATTGCCGTAATACCTTGCTCTATCTGGGCCTAAGTTTCCTTTTCTGTTCGGAGAAGACCTGTAGCTTCCCTGCTGACATAGAAGAGGCAGAATCAGAAGGGTACCCCAGACCCAAATACAGGCCTGATACTCTCTTAGAATGCTGGAAGGATTTGGAGGGGACAGTCCATCCCCTCAGAAAAGTGCCAGGGCACCCAGTCATAATCATGGGTCCAATTCCCATACTTGGCTTGTACAAGGCACTGGCAGGAGGCCATTTTTGCCTGTCCCACATCCTAGCTGGTCTGGCACATGCCACAGAAGGAGAGCTCTGTCCCCAAATACTCAGGCCTGCAGAACCAGTTGTTCAGGGTGTAGATATAGGTACTTGTATCCCCACATGGTTGAGTCTGAACTCACCTTACTGCCCAAGCCGTCTTGCTGAGGGGCACTATCCCCACCCTGAAACCCCAGTGCCATTCTTGTTTTCTCCAAGCTCTGTCTGTGTATCCTCCTTCAGTTAGTCCCCAAGTCCATCCAGCCCACTTCACAAGTCTTTCTCAAGGTTACCCTCTTATCCATCTCCGTCTCCAGGCCTATCTGAGTTCCTGCAGGGACAGCTCTGTGCACCTTTCCTAGCTCCCATCTCACCCTAGTCCATGCCCCATGTACTGGCCTGGAAAGCTTTTCAAAATGCTGCCTGACAGGCTGAAGAGATGGCTCTGTGGTTAAGAGCACTGGCTGCTCTTCCAGAGGACCTGGGTTCAATTCCCAGCACCCCCATGGCATCTTACAACTTTCTATAACTCCAGCTCCAGGGGATCACACACCCTCACATAGTCATGACTGCAGGCAAAACACCAATGCACATAAAATAAAGATAAATTAATTTTTAAAATGCTACCCTGGGCTCTCTAGCCTTGTATTCATTCTTTTGCCCACACAGCTCCAACCCAAACCCTCTTTCTTCTGAGCCCTTCCCATAGCACCATGAAGGCATACCCTCACCCCACCCCTCACCAAACACCTGTTGTATCACTGAGGGAGGGGAGGGACTCCATTCACATGAAAATGGAAGACTTCTTGTTCAAAAAAGTAGGAAATCCCTTGCTCTTAAAGGTGGCAAAACAAACAAACCAAGTAGCGATTTACCTTTTCCGCATCATCTTTCTCGAACTGCCATAGCATCAACTGCTAACTGACTATTGTACGGGTGAGGTCAGACCTTCGCAAACCCCTGCTAATCCCTCTTCCACTGCCCTCACCCCCCAACAGTTGCTATCCCAACAGCAGCTAGATGTGAAGAAGGGGAACCGGCCATCCCGTCCCACAAATCTGCTACTGCAACCTGTGGTGGGCAAACAACACCTAAGAGCATCTGGACCTCCGCTCCAGGAAACACTGTGTCCCTAGACGGGGGCTCGACCTTGGACTTCAGCTCTGCAGAGCAACCCACTGCATGGGCACGGCCAGCCCAAGGTAGGGACATCCACAACCATGCCCATCTCTGAGACATCAAGGGATTTGAATTCTAATCAGGCCTTGCCCACTCCCAGGGAGCCCAGGGCCCTGGGAGGGAGGAATCTAAGAGCCTGTGCTTTGAGTCAGGAGGTGGCAGAATCTGAGTGAGTGGGAGCTGAATGTCTAAGCTCCCAGAGTATGGGCCACGGTCCCAGTGGACTCTCCTTACAAAACTTAAATTCCAAGGTGAAATTAAAGCTTCAGTGCCATGACCAGGAGCATGCATTCCAAGAGGGGTAGAGCTCTGAACAGATACATAGCCACAAGGCTGGCCCTGCCTGCATCCTCCAGGCCTTGGGTTAAACAGTCTGTCTTTTGGGGAGCCTCTCTGACCCCCAAGACTAGTTTATATTCTCTTCCTCGGACCTCACATGCTCCTCATTTCATTTTTAAGCACATATTTAACTAATTCATTATATTATTTGTTTTGAAACTGACTAAATTAATTGAGCTCTGTGAAGATGGGAATCGTCCTCTTGGTTCACAATGGCACCTCTGGAGTATTTCCAGGTCTATCATAGGTACTAAATATACATTCATAAATCAACAACAAAATTAATGCAGATTTCATCCTGGAGTCTTCCCTTTTAAAAGCTAAATGTTGTCATAGGCAACTGGAATATTGCCAGCTTTCTATAGGCTCCCAAGTAGCCAAAATAATAAGGAAGAGATAAATGCTCAATCTGCTCTGTCTCTCTCATTGTCCTCTTCTGGGTTTTGGGGAGATGAACATATGATGGACAAGTGGTGGTAAGGAGACCTCAGGATGCTTTGGAGGCCTCAGGCAGAAGCTGCCTTTGACCCTGGGTGTGGCCTATTCTCTTTGGACTTTTTGAACACTAAGGGGGTTCAGATTAGAGTTATTCCCAGGTGGTCAGTGTCCCAGGGTGTGCTGACTTGTCCCACAGGCGATGCTGGCCAGCTTGCCCTCTTCCAGCACACTCACTATGGTATGTCCTGGAGCTCTAGACTTGACTGAGGAGCTGCAGTTCCAGCCCACAGACTAAAGGGATACACCACAAACAGTTTTGTTTCAAGATGGAAGATCGAATAATCACTAAGGTGTGGTTTAATGTCCTTAAAAGAAGGCAGTTTCTTGCAAAAAACAGTCAACTTCTTGTGTGTGTGTGTGTGTGTGTGTGTGTGTATTCTCACATGTGCATGTGTGCATTCACACACACACACACACACACACACACACACACACACACACACACACACATGTGCCCATATGGGCATGTACACATGTTCATGTGTGTGCAGAGGCATGTGTACATGTGTGTGTATGCATGTAGAGACCAGAGGAGGATAAACCTAGGGTATCATTCCCCAGGAGTTGACCACCTTATTTTTGGAGACAGAGCCTCTCACTAGGAACTAGGGCTCACTGATTCAGCTAGGCCAGCTGGCCAGTGAGCCCTGGGGATGCTTTTGTCTCCACCTTCCTAGTGGCAGGACCCTAAGCACACAGCACCAAAAGCATTCAGCTTCTTAAAGAAAACATGGAACCACATTACGAAGTCGCAAAGTATGGAGTGGACCAAGAACTCTCCCTAAACCCATGGACACGGATCATTGAGTTTCTCTGGGCCCTGGCTGCACACAGCAGCTTCGCTGGCAGCAGAGGCCACGCTGGCCTGCCCTCATTTAGTACCGCTCGCTCTCCATTCTAGGAACTCAGCTATTTCCATTCCCAGCAAGCACACATTTAGCACCCAGCGCCTCCCCAATTCAGAATAGATTACCATGGAAACCAGCCTGAGAAGAGGCAGAGACACACACTTTTCTTTCAGGCCCTGGATGCATACAGATGGGCCTCTTGTCTCCAAGCTCTATGGTTCCAGTACAGGGGAAAGTCCTGGGGAATGGAGCTCCATTGTCCTGTCCTGTTGGTTAGTTTTTGTGGTACTAGAGTGGAGCCCTAGGCCTTCTGGATGCGAAGCAAGTATCCCACCATTGAGTAATATGCCCAGTCAGCTCTTTGTTTCTCAGTGGACTTCTCTAGGAGTCTGCATTCCGTTTACCACCTTAGGGATACAGCCAACAGAAGGGCAAGGTCCAGGGGCTGAAGAGATGGCTCCATGGTTAAAAGTCAGTACTGCTCTTGCAGGGTACCTGAGTTCAGTTCCCAGCACCCATGTTGGGCAGCTCATAACCACTTTAACTCCAGTTCTAGGGGATCCAATGTCACCTTCTGGCCTCTGAGGATATTGTAAGTGCCCACACAGAGTCACACAAGTATACACATAATTTGAAAATAAAAATAAATAGAAGATCAAATTCCAAAGTCAGTGGAATGACATACCTAAACTCTAGCCCTCAGGGTTATCATGGGTGGGGTTTTGTTTTACTTATTTATTTATTTACTTACTTACTTATTTGTTTTCATAGAATCTAATATTATACCATGGAGATTACTGTGGAAGTTCAATAATTCACTAATGAAAACTACTCAGTACAGAATTTGCTGTGTTGCTGGTGACAGGGTAGGAGAGAGACACTTCAGGTCTGTCATGCCCTTTCTGCAGATTTCTATATCATATACCCCTAGTAGGTGAGCTCAGTGGGATTCTATCCAGGGGAGGAGGCTCGTGTTCAGCATCCCTGGTTCACCCTGCTGTGGCCCAGCTTTCACATCTGTTAGTGGGTACCACTTTGGGTAGTGCTTGGGAAAGCTCCCTGAGTTCGTGCCTGTTGGGTGCTTGGCATGGTGAGTGCTGACTGATGGAGACCTTGGAACTGAGCTGCACAGGTTTAGTCTGGTAAAGCCACAGGGCCACTGAGCAGCTCGGCAGTGTGAGGACATCGGTCAATGTTGTTAGGGAGCCAAGGCACCAGCTTCTCCCACCAGAGCAAAGCCCCAGGGTGCCTCCCAGCCAGGGCTGAGGAGCGCAAGGGAAGGATGGGAAGATGTTCTTACCAGGCCAAGGTTCAGAGTGTTGTTATCATCCTCAGGCATGGGCAGGTACACTGCCAGGGCCACACAGTTGGCAAAGATGGTCAGCAAGATGATGGTCTCAAAGGGTCTGATGCCAGGGTTAAGGAGGGCCCCTGAGTCATCTGTGGGATGTGTGGGGTTGAGGGGAAGAGACTGCTAAAGGCCAGTCTAGAAATCACTGTAATGCTAAGAGATAGTCAGGCCACATGATGATTTGTGGGGGCTTGTCCCCCAAAATGGCCAGGGAGGCTGGGGGTTGATGTATGTTTGGTAGGACTGGAAAAGAGGGGAAATGGAGAGGAAAGCCAGACTTTCAGAACTCTGTGCACACACTCACGTGTGTAGGCTTGCGCTCATACATCCCCTTCCGAGATACACCTGCCCCACAGTAGCTAGCCATTCCAAAGGGTGCTCTGGAATCCACCCTTCCAGACTTACTGGTCATTCAGAAAGCCAATATGAGGAAGGGAAATTGAGACGGAGTCTTGGTATATCGTTAGGGGTGGGAAGCAGAAGGCATGCTATGGAGGTAGGTTTGATAAAAATCACATTCTCTTCCCAGCAATTTCAGTGTTTGAAGAGAGACAGGGGCCGGGGGAGGGGTCACAGAATAGATCTGTGGGTGGAGTGGGCTCAGTGGAGTAGAGTGGAGAAAAGGGAGAGCCTGCCAGGGGAAGCTGCCCTCACGGGAGACAGGCAAGGGTTTGGAGGTGATGGGAAATCAGTGCAGCTATGGGAACCAGGCCCAACCCCAGACCCACTGTCTCTATGTGGCTCCATATGTCCCTTACCCTTCCAGTTATCCCTTTCTCCAAGGCACAGCTGATGGAATCCCACTCTTCCAGAACATGTCAAAAATATTTCAAATATTCCTGACTCTCAGAACCCATTCACACAGGCCTCTTCTCTGCGGCCCCTCCTTTCCCCCAAATAACCCAGATATTTTCATCCTTCTTCTTCCAGAACTCACGCAAACTGGGAGAGAGATCAAGGCCCCTGTCACTGTCAGAACACTGCTTCTGAGTTACAACACCCAAGTTTGCTCGCCAGCATCCAGGAACCACTAAGAGTAGGCCTTCCCTCAAATCCATTTCACCAGCTCCATTTGGAACTGAGACTTGAGTCAGTGGAAATTGTCCTGGACTGTCATCTCCTCCCCCTGCCCTCCCCCTGCCTCCTCCCACCCCCGCACCCCCATGGAGGATTTCCTCCGGAGCTTCTACCTCTTTTGTCTTCTTATTCAAAACCTTGAGTGGCACCCCATGATGATAGAGACTTGGGCACACTTGGAAACAACTCCCATGAGCACAGGCCCTTCCTAAGATGATCAATAGCTCTCTCTGGCTGTCACTCATAATCTCAGGGGTCTCCTCGGGCCCCAGGAAGCTCTTCTTTCCATTGTGGTGGAGACCTTCCTTCCTGCCTTCACCAAGATTCCTTATGCTGGTCTGAGGTATTAGATTAACCCCCTGCCAAGAGCCCAGTCACCCTGATGCTAAATGCCTGAGCTTTGTGACCACCCCGTACCCTTCCCCTGCCTCCCATCCCCTCCCCACTCCCGCTTGCTCAGGTGCTAAAAAGGATACTTCCATTCCACGATGCTGATGCAGGCCTTCCTTAGAGGGTTCTGGAGAGTCAAGCAGAACAAGGCTCGGGGTGGCCTCGGCAGAATCTCAGGAACAGGTTTCTTGGGCTGTTTCTTCCTCAGGCCCTCATCCTGGGGTGAGGACGGCTCCATGGTTTCCCTGACACCCCTCTTTTCCCTTCTCCCCCAGCCCACAGCCCTCTCCTCCCTGTGTCCCCAATGCCCCCACCTTGGGGACTGGGCCTGACTGAGCCTGTCCTGCTGAGGCAATCAGACAGGGCGGGTGTGGGGGTGGGAGGATTACTCTCTCTGCTCCCAGCGAGTAAAATTAGCCCCGTGCTGCCCAGCCCAAGCTCCTGAGGCCAGGCAGCTGTCATTCCTTCCAGTCCAGCCAGTGACATCCCAAACTGCCCCTAAGGAGGACAAGGGCTGGGTGTAAAGGGGTGATTTACACCCAGGCCTGAGGCGGGGCAGGGGCAGTGGGAGACAGGAAGGTTTCGTAGCTAGACAATGGGGTTCAGGAAGACGAGCCTGCCGTGTGGAGCCACAAACTAGATAGGTCCCTCGTGCTAAGATTAAGTTTCTCCTCACGCCAGCTCCATGGCTCTATCCAGAGGCGGTTCTGGGTGATGGCCTAGCTCAGCATATCTCCACCCACTCGAGGCCCAGTGTCTGTCAGCATCAGCCCTGAACCTCCATGCCGTCTGCTGTCAGAAATGGAGCCACCAGCTGGGCGATGCACGCCTTGAATCCCAGCACTCGGGAGGCAGAGCCAGGCGGATCTCTGTGGGTTCGAGGCCAGCCTGGTCTACAGAGCGAGATCCAGTGCTGTGGGATGTCTTTCTGAATGCTGTGAATATGTGTTGCTCTAGTTGGTTGATAAATAAAGCTGTTTGGCCAATGGTAAGGCAGAATAAGGTTAGGTGGGACATTCCAACTGGAGAGAGACAGGAGGAAGAAAGGCAGAAGCAGAGAGACACCGCAAGCCGCCACCAGGAGAAGCAAGATGTAGAAGTATTGGTAAGCCACGGCCCCATGTCAACTTACAGATTAATAGAAATGGGTTGTTATAGGAGCTAGCAAGCGAGAAGCCTGAGCCATAGGCCATCCAGTTTGTAAATAGTATAAGCCTCTGTGTGTTTACTTGGGACTAAGCAGTTTCGGGACACTAGTAGGAAATGGATTACTATCCAGGACAGCTCCAAAGCTACACAGAGAAAGCCTGTCTCAAAAAACTTAAAAAAGAAAAAATGCAGCCATCCTTCCATTGAAGTGAAAGACTCCCAGTCAACCTTGAATGTACGTGCTCTTACATGGCCCCCGCCCCTCATGTCCCTCATTATACAAGGTTTGTGTGCTTTCTCTCTGCAACCCTGATGCCGCCATCGCACAGTCACAGCATACATTAAGCTCTCTGGAAATGTTAGTTGACTGCATAAGTTAGCAAACACCCCATCCACCCTGGCAGCAAGTATTCTGGGCTGGGAAATCAAATGAAGAAGAGGAACGGGGTGGGGAGTGGGCACAGACAATGATTCAGCAATCACAAAACTCAACAATCCTTTTATTTAGCCCTTGGTTGTAAACACAGTGTCAATGGACCCTAGAAGTTTCCAAGTCTTGGGGGCGGGGCAGGGGGATGAAAGTCCTTAACCTGGGAAAAGACCAGGAGACTATACCGAAGGGTGGGAGAGGGAGAGCGGAGGTGATCACTTGCTGTCAAGGAAGTCAACCAGCACCAGCGACAGAAGTGCGCGCGTGTAACACACACACACACACACACACACACACACACACACACACACACACACACACACACACACGTGCATTCCTGATCTCTAGAGGCAATCAAGCTCCCCGCTAGCGTTTGAGGCCATCTTGTGGAAGATCCAGGCATCGCATACAAGTGCTGCAGGCTTCCAGGGGACTTGTTGCTGTGGTGGACAACAGAGCCGAGCTAAGGCCAAGAGGCCATCGGGTTCAGGAGCTGTCCAGAGCTCCGCTCCTCACTGCACTCACCCCTCCTGTGATCCCTATCTCGCCCTTTCTACCCCGGGCCCACACATTTGGCCCAAGTGGGTGGAGGTGACCTTGAACATCACTGTCCTGCCTGGCACAGATGACCCAGAAGCCCCCACACCGTTCCCTAGAGGGACAAGTCGAGGCCTCTGGCCCCATCAAAGGCTGGGTTCCTCTGACTCCAAGAAAGGCGAGGAGGAGAAGGAGGAGGACCCACTGCACTCGGCCACCAGGAAGGGGGGCTGTGGCGCATTGCCCTGGCCGGCGCAGGCGGGCTGCGGGGAGGTGGCTGCAGGCGGCTCGCCGTCGGGGGCGGCGCTCAGCAGCTCCTGCAGGTACTTGATGTAGCGGATGGCGGCGCGCAGGGTCTCCACCTTGCTGAGTCGCTTCTCCGCCAGGGCGCCGGGGAGGTGGCCGCGGAGGCGCGCGTAGCCCTCGTTCACGCACTTGACGCGCTGCCGCTCGCGCTCGTTGCGCTTCTGGATGAAGGCGGGCTCGAACGGGTAGTCGTAGACCCCGAAGGCGCCGGGGAAGGGCACGTAGGGGAACACCCCAGCGTAGGCGTCGTAGTAAGGCGGCTCGGCATGGCCAGGGTACAGCAGGAACGGGACGTTGCCCAGGGGCTCCGTGGCTGCCAGCGGCGTCTGTCCTGCAGGGGCCACGACACCCAGCTGCACGCCGCTGGGAGCCCCGCGGTCCACCAGGGCCCGGCAGAAGTTACTGTTCATTGCGCCCCGTGGAGCTGGACCCAGGGTGAGGCCCTCACCGAATGGCCTCTGCTCGGGCTCTGTGTGGTCCTGACTACGGAGACAAGTCACATCGCTAGCAGCTCCGGAGCGCCGCGAGTTGCTAAGGCTTCATTTTTCTTTTTTGGGTTGACTTGGACTTCTTAAAGCGAGTCATAGCTCTGGACAAGTGCAGCTCCGTGCGGAGCCTCAGCAGGTCCCTGCTGCGATCTTGCTTGTGGTACCATGTATTGAGTAATCTGGGGACTGTCGCCCTCTTCCCTGGCCCTTGTGACCTGCGAGTCTTGCCTCTTCCTGCACCCCAACACTGGCACCTGTCCCTGACGCTAGCTGTGAGCCTCCATGACCAGGTCCTCCGATGCCCAGTTCTTGTTCCTCACTGGTTCTTGTCGCAGGATCCCCAAGCTGCGGGGAAGGGGTGAGGGCAGCGAGTGTGTCAGCTCTGCAGAAGAGGTCCCAGAATTTTGCTAAAAGCAGAGAAGAGTGGACATATCAATAAGGAAAGGCCCTTGTGGCACTCCGATCTCCAGAAATGATCAGGAGGGAAGAGAGTGTGGTTTGGGGGAGGTGTTGTTCAGAGCTCAAATCTTGGGTTCACTCCTCAATAGTCAGGTGACATTCTTGAGTAAGATTTCCGTATTTGGAGGGACAGAAAACATCCTTTACAGATCCTAAGAGAACCAAAAGAGAAAAACAAACAAACAAAAAAACATATCCCAGAGCACCCCGTACCTGGCCTGGCATGGGGCGGGGCCATCAATGCCATTTCCTTTGAGAACGCACATTGTCTCATCACTGTTACCTTCCAGGGCCTCCCATCTAAAAATGGCGGAAGGAAGGCCTACTGGGGGTTTCAGAGAGATGGCTCGTGATTAAGAGCAGGTATTGCTCCTGCAGAGGACTGGGTTTCTAGCGACTGCATCAGGACCTCACAACTGCCTGTAACTCCAGCCACAAAGGACCCTTTGCCTCCGTGGGCACCCGTGGTCATGTGCACATACCCACGCACGAAGACGGGATTGAAAATAATAAAATATTTTAAAGAAGTCTATTGAACTAGCAGAAGGAGTTGAAGCAGGTATCTCAAATTATTACAGACGTCTCTCTGGTGAATGAAGGACAACTCTGATTACAAAGAGCTCCTGTGGTTAGCACTTCCAAAGTTGCCTGGCGGAGAGACTGTCACCTGCTCCTTCCCTGTCCCAGGCTACATTGGGTCCAGGATATACCACCTCCCATCCTCTTGGCTTTCTCCTCTAGAGCACTTAACAGGGTGTCTTCTTTGTCTTGCATCTGCCCAAGCCGAGCCCCGTCCCTGGCATGTAATAGATGCTCCACAAATCCTGGCTGAATAACCAAGAAAGAGGATTAGGCCAAAAACTGGGTTTGCCAGGGTGGGGCATAATTACATGTAGCCCTTCCCGGGTTTTAGAAAGCTGTTATTTTGGAAATAATTGGTCGGTGTTGAGTTTAAGTACCACCAGATTCCATCAGCTGTGCTTATCGGATTCAAGTTGTATGTCCTCCTCCCCTCCCCTGACCCCGCCCCCAGGAGGCAAGCCTCTCTGATGCTGTTCCCTGCCTTGTGTGTGTGTCCACAGTGTTCCCAAATGTCCCTGTGGCAGTGGTCACACTACTGTTGGTTCTCCCTTTGAGGAAGATGCTCAGAGTGTACTGATGGGGGCGTACGCAGCTCTCACAGAGCGTGATGGGGCATCCCGAGGCACTGGCAGTGGTCACGTCTTCTCTGCGTGGCAGAAGAGAGTCAATCCTCTCCCTGCCCGAGAACTGGTGGCAGTCTCGGGGTGCTGAGTGTCTTCTGTGCCCTACCACGTTTGTCCTTTTTGCAGACCCCGAGTCTGTCTCCAGTTAGCATTCCCCTCCATGTTGACTGAGAACACCGAGCCAATCAGGACCCAGAGACTCGCACTTCCTCTCGAGTGGAAGCTGGTGTATAAAGACATCAGGACCAAAACTCATATCTCCCCGCTCGTATGGGCGGCACCCCAGATCCCCCCCCCCCCCACTGATTGTAGAGGAACACTCTAAAAAACAATCCTTCTCTGGCAGACCCTGGGCTCTGTTAGGGTAATCTCCGGATGCCCTTTGCTCATTTCTGATTCACACCTTGGCTAATCCTCCAATCGTGAGGCCCTGAACACCTCTCTGCCTTGCTAACCTTGAGTCCATGAGAGAGTTCACGTACAGCTTCTGCCCACACTGCCCAGGCTTTCCAGACAGATCCCAGCCTGGGCTGTCAGGTCAGGACTGGGTATCTGAGACTTTACTCAGGCAGTGCGCCTCAATGGGCAGGGCTAGGCTTTTTCTTGTAAAGGTAAAGTCCCTCACTCAGTGTTGGGCACATAAAGATGGTTCAAGAGACTTGCCAGGGGGGCTTGAGAGATGGCTCAGCAGTTAAGAGCACTAGCTGCTCTTCCAGAGGTCCTGAGTTCAAATCCCAACTACCACATGGTGGCTCACAACCATCTGTAGTGAGATTTGGCGCCCTCTTCTGGTCTGTAGACATACATGCAGACAGGACACTGTATACGTAATAAATAAATCAATCAGAGAGGGAGAGGGAGAGGGAGAGGGAGAGGGAGAGGGAGAGGGAGAGGGAGAGGGAGAGGGAGAGGGAGAGGGAGAGGGAGAGGGAGAGGGAGAGGGAGAGGGAGAGGGAGAGGGAGAGGGAGAGGGAGAGGGAGAGGGAGAGGGAGAGGGAGAGGGAGAGGGAGAGGGAGAGGGAGAGGGAGAGGGAGAGGGAGAGGGAGAGGGAGAGGGAGAGGGAGAGGGAGAGGGAGAGGGAGAGGGAGAGGGAGAGGGAGAGGGAGAGGGAGAGGGAGAGGGAGAGGGAGAGGGAGAGGGAGAGGGAGAGGGAGAGGGAGAGGGAGAGGGAGAGGGAGAGGGAGAGGGAGAGGGAGAGGGAGAGGGAGAGGGAGAGGGAGAGGGAGAGGGAGAGGGAGAGGGAGAGGGAGAGGGAGAGGGATTTAAGAATTTGGGATCTAGCCGGGCGGTGGTGGCGCACGCCTTTAATCCCAGCACTCGGGAGGCAGAGCCAGGCGGATCTCTGTGAGTTCGAGGCCAGCCTGGGCTACAGAGTGAGTTCCAGAAAAAAAAAAAAGAATTTGGGATCTAGACCTGATTGTTTATATTTGATCTGCTCGTTTTAAAAATAAACAGTCGGTGCATTAACATTTGTTTTTCACAAACTATCCATAAAAGTGACTCACATAAGACACCTCACATGGGCCCATGTAGTTCTAGGCCAATTCTATCTCTCCTGCTGGAAGAAGATTGATAAGCTGCCAGGGAGCATGATGAGGAGACCCCCTGCAGTGGACTGTCTTCTCACAGCAGTTCTTACCCCGTATTAGAAACTGAGACCCAGCATTGCCTGTGACCATTTAATGACCTGATAGTCAATGACACTTTCTAAGAGCCTTCTGCATGCAAGGCCCACTCCAGTCAGCAGCCTTGCTGTGAAATAATGATAATTTCAGCTGTTATGGCTTGCAATGTGTGAGACATGGTTCTAAGTGCTATTCTGGAATGCTCTTATGTTCTCACACCATTCTTGTGAGGTAGTTAACATCACCTATTTTTACAGGTGGGAAAACAGAGGTGCATAAAGGTTAAGTCGCTTGTCAGGCCCTGTGGTTAGGAAACATGAACTAATAAATGCTAATCAGCCATACTCAGCTTCCTGCTCCTCTGTGGTAGTTCTCTTGGTGACTTGGTACTTCAACAGGGAATCAGAAAGGTTTGCATTGACCTAAAAAGGATCTTATTAGGTTAAATCTCCTGTTGGAGGGATGCCTCACTGCAGATTGAAGTTATAGTGCTAGTATTTGGCTTCTGCTGAGGGAGGTCACATGGGTCACCCTTGGGAAGATGTTTTGCTAGGGGTGGGGCATGGGATTCTTGGAGCCAAACATCATGAACTCACCCCTGAGAACATGATTAGAACCCCCTTTTCCCGAGTTTAGGGGGGGGGAAAAGAAAGAAAAGAAAAGAAAACAACAACCATCCACACAAACAGGAGTAGTGACCTCTTCCAAGCCTCTAAGATCTACGAGGATCAGACCTGGTAGAAGTGGCTGTCAACAGCGCCACAGTGTGGTGATGAGAAGAAGTACAAGTGGCGGATGAACAAAATTCAGGTCCTGATTCTGTGAGGAAGTTGTAACTTCCTCTCACGGCTCCTCCTGGAGACTGCGGGTTCTAAGAACAGCAAGGAAGAGCTGTGTGGCTTCCTGTCAACTCTATTTCCCTTGAGTTTGCTAAGCAGAAACGTCACATAAACTTTCATGGCATATATGTGTGCAGGCATCTATGCTTTGTTATCTGATTTAAATAAAAATAAATAGAGCGTGATGTTAATATCAGGCACCTCACTGGATAAAGGGGTGCACATATCATCCTTAGTGGTCTTGATTTTCTCACTGTCTTCATTGGGGCTGGAGCTGGGCTCTGAGACCAGAAGATGGCCGAAGAGCCCTTCCCACAGGCAAGCCACGGCTGTGGAAGAGGGTTTGAGGAATGCAAGGTCTTCACAACTCCACTGCTTTCCCTATGGCTCTGAGAGATCCCTGGCTGGTGCTCAGTGCACAGTGGTGCTTCCTGGCAGCAATAAGACTGCTTCCCCAGCCTGCTTTCCATCCAGCTACCCTAAGCCAGAAGAAGGACTCAATGGACAAAATCACTGGCTTTCGGCATCATCTCCCCCATCCCTGGACAGGGTAGTCACTAAGGCCTTTTCCCAAAGAGCTCCACAGTCAAACATTGTGATAAACACAGCCTGCATTCTCCTCCTTGGTGATCCACAGGGCCCTAGGTAGCTTTGCAGTAAAGAAACCTGTTTGTGTTGAGCTTGGAAATTTAAAATAAACCACACAGCACTTTAAGGAATTCTTAAGCCTTAAATATACTTTGAGGAATTCTGCCTAAAATATCCAGAATACATATTTTAACACAGAAAAAGGAAAAAGAGAGGAGGAGGAGGAGGAGAAGGAGGAGGAAGAAGAAGAGAAGAATAAGAATAAGAATAAGAATAAGAAGAAGAAGAAGAAGAAGAAGAAGAAGAAGAAGAAGAAGAAGAAGAAGAAGAAGAAGAAGAAGAAGAAGAAGAAGAAGAAATGTCACAGCTCCCCATGAGGGGTATGTCTAATAGCCTATAAATATTGTAGAAGGATAACCTGGCCATTCTCACAAGTACATATTAAATGCCTCCAAATATGCATCAACACGGACAGTCATTTTGGAATGTTGTATGCTACGTGGTTATGGTAACTAGTCAGTGGGACCAAGCCTAGGAGACCAGCAGTCAGGTCTCAAGACTGTGAGCTCACTTGTACCTTAGATGGGCTGGAAAATGATGCTGTGTCCTCTGGGTCAACATGTCTCAGCAGCCCGGATCAGTCCCGCTTGCCCTTGGTCTGCTGAGAATGAAGTGAGTCCCCTGCAAGGCCCTCAAGGTCCTTCCATGCTGTTCCTCCTGCCTCAGGGTTAGGGACCCCCTGACTGCTCCCCAGCCCCATTTCTGTAGCCAGTTTCACTGAGGACTCATCACAGATGCACCCTCTGGTGCTGGCTGCCATGCCTAGCAGTCTGCTTCCTTAGCTCAGGTAATCCCTGCACCTGAGAGGAGCTGGGGCTTCATTTGTTTGCGGAAGAGAAACGGACTGTGGTCGAGAGTCCTGCTGGTTGCAATGTGCCGGGGTCTAGCTGGTTGATGTATGAGAGTCTTCTTGGCTGGACAGGATCCCCTAAGTTTTAATAAGAGTTGTTTTATTAAGGGAACTATTAGCAGCTGGAGTTGGGTGAGGGGTCTAGTCACTCCTAAACCCTCAGCATTTATATTGTTGAGAAGTCACAGGTAGATGATCTGAGAGCACTCCCTGCTCTACCTGAATTCTATTGGAATTCTGCCTTCTCAGCTCCAGGACTGGGTAGGAGAGCTTGTTACCCAGGAGGCTCATGGGAAAGGCAGCCTGAGACCGGGAGCCCTACTGTTGAGTGTCCAACTGGCAGCTCCTATCTCTGGTTAAGCAGTCTTAGCCCTGATTTCTACAAGCCTCAGTGTTCTCATCTGCAAAATGAGAGCAATGCCACTTACCTCTACTGTGGTTACAGTAGATGAGGGTAATGTATGTGGGCCATGTGGCATCCGCTAAGAACTGAGCTCTGGTCATTAAGGCAGGTGACCCAAGGTAGAGCTCCCCAGAGCTCCAGGACCCATGTTTGTGGATATGACAAAGCCCAAGGCAGCGGTCCCCACGACCTACATTGCAGCTGGCAAGCACCCTGATGCCATATCTGACAGCTCTCAGAATCACATCCGTACCAACAACCACAAAGAAGGAAAAATCTGGGCGTTAAGTCCCAATTGTTCCTTCAAATGTCTGAATGAGAAGGGTCACCTGATTCTAACCAAATGTGTTCACAGGTGTGATCTCCTGTCTGTCAACACACCCACACAAATGTCCCCTGAGGTCCTTCTAGGAGCCCTTTGACTGCTGGGTGCAGTTGAGAATGACCTAGATTGCTGTCCTTAGCTTCAGAAAAGGGCAGGACTGCCTGGTAGTGGACATGCCTAGTATATACCTGGCACTCACCCACAGGCACTGTTCTTTGTGGGCCGAAGAGCTACTGCAAGCCTTCCACGTCAGGACTGATAACACCCCTAGCTGCAGATGAGGACATTGAAACACAGAGTAGTTAAGTCCCTTGCACAAGGTCACATGGTTGGTATAGATAGGGTTGGGATTCATATTGGGGTAGCTAGGCTCCTGAGTGACCCCGCTCATTCTACATGACAGAGACAAACCAATC